GTGGGGGGAGTTGTCAACGCAAACTCATTTACTAGGGGGATGAAACTTCATACTTTTTGTTTTTCTTGAGTTCAATGTCATACTTTTTTCAAATTAGTGAGTTGAAATGAAAATAGTATCGTAAAGTATTACTGGACTTGACGCTTTTTTATAGATTTTAATGAAGACAGCGGGAAAATGAATTTCAACTTAAAGAATTGATGATCTACTGTTAATAATACATGATCTCTAGAACCCCACATCGACTAGAGAGAAACTCTGCTGTCACAGTTCCTGGTGTTCGTAGAGATCCTGCCTTGATATTCAGGTACAAAGTTGTTGTCGTCTCTGTTCTTCCTGTTAAGCTTAAATCCTGCCAAGTTATTAGTTTTGATCTTGAAAGTGTGCCCGATACATATTTGTGAGGAAAGCTAATATTTTTATATTCTTCTTGGTCCTGAGCTGAAAACTTTTAAATGGTGGATATCGAGATTAATGCTTGATCTCCTCTTTTTCTTAATCTCCAGATTAAATAATGCTTGTTATCCTCTTGTTATTAATATACAGATACAGATTAACCGATCGGGATTAAGGATATCCTATTCTAAAGTTTTCAGCTCTGGTCATATTTCTCAATTTAGATTTTATTTAAATAACTTAAAAATGGCGTTTCAAAGCTATGACGAGAGATTAACCCTAATTTCCACGGAATGACGGTTAACATGCAATTAAATCATTTATTTATCGATGTCAAATGTAGAGGGGAAAAAATCTCAATATATTGATTTGATTACCATTCATTTTGTTTTGAATTATTATTATTTGGGAAAAATATTTATTACGGATTAATTAAATGGACTGTATGTTATTCTAATAATTTATTTAGTTATCTGTTAAACATTTGTTTTCAAGATTGTACAATTAAATTGTTTTTGTAGGGATCAGACGAACAATTTGGTTCTGAACCTGGTTTCAAGTTCTCTCCGGTTTCTTCAACAGGTTCTCCTCTCCGACCTAGCTCCGTCCTCTCTTCCTTCTCCTTCATCCTTCTCATCCCCTCTGCTCTACTCGGTTCCGGAGTGGAAAAATCTCAGGTAATAATAAAATTAAGATTTGAGTGAAATATTGATCTCGCTGAAAAGTTATTTTTATTATTTTAAGGACCAGAGTCCGAATTTAATGAATTTGAGCCCCGTCTCAAATCCACCAAAAACCGGTTTCAGTTGAGCGCCGGCTTAATTCTTGAAACATTAAATACAATTTTAAGTGGAACCCACCATATTTAAGTCGCGTCTCAAATTCAAGCCGCGGCTCAAATTCTTTAAATTCGGCCTCAGACCATCCATTTTTCAATAAAATAGGGGATTGACACTCCAGAGTCCCGACCATTAAAATATTAAAAATACGTGTTGTAATTGTTAGTGATCCCTCATTTAAAGAGGAGCAAAAGCATGCCCTATTTCAAAGCTATCCTTGAACCTTTATCTGATCAATTATCTGGACGTTATCATTGGTTGTTTTTCTTGATTGAAAAGTGTTCAATTCTGAATTCAAACCCCATTGTTTCTGTCAGCAGAAATGCACAAGTCACTTTCATACTTATATAGAGAAACCATAGGTAATTAAATTTTTAAAAAAGAAACATGATTACTGTGTCCGAATTTAATGAATTTAAGCCACATCTCAAATCCACAAAAAACCGGCTAAAGTCTTAAAAATTTTATTACAAATTTAAGTCAACCAACCATATTTGAGCCGCGGCATAAATTTAAACCGCGGATCAAATTCTTTAAATTCGGCCTCTGGATAGCTTATTCAAGCTTGATCAGACAAAGTGTTGGGTATCGTTTTAATTGTACATGTTATTCTATAAATGGAGTGTTACTTGAAACTACGCTTACAGTCCCTTTAAAATATGGAAATTAAATACCCTAAAATAGTCAGGGCGGCGAATAAATCATATGAATTGTGAGAGGATGAATTTTGAAGAAAATATTCAACCCTAATGGAAGTTGCAACATAGTTAAATAAAGTAAATGAAGATAGCCAGGAACAAGGTTATAATGCAAGGTAAGTTAGTTGCAGTTGTGTATTCTCTGCGTTCATATTGAAACTAGTTCTCTTTGGCGGTTTTTTAAAACAAGAATAGAAGCATCAGTGTTAGTTTAGTATCCGAGAAGGTTAAAAAAAGCATTAAATTTTGATAATTTTGATAATTCACATAATAGTTTCACGACCAGAATATTTCATTGATTTTTTATGTGTCTTGTTTTTACATTACCGCCCAGAGACAGTACACTGCAGTACAAAAGATGCGAACACTTCTGAAATAACTTTCCTTGCATTATAACTTTGGCCAGGAATTAAGAATATTGGAAAAAGGATTTTCTGTATAATAAACTTGTATCCTTCGCTCATTATTGTAATTTATAAAAAATGTGAAGAACAAGTTTCCTTTTTGCCTTAAAATATTTCCCCTGTTCAGTGGTTGTGATGCCTCTGAGTTTAAATCCTTGCTGTCCTACGATCTTGGGTCTTGTTATTTCTTCAATGAAAGCTATCCGGCGTCCTCAACCTGCTTCACAGCTTACTTTAAGTACTCGGCAAACGTATCTGGTGCTAGCAACCAACCTGGTGCTGACAGCCTACCCAACCAATCTGAAGCTCTGTCTGATGTTCTCAAATCTGATATTCAGGTAAATTTTTTCAAAGAAAGATATTTTTTAATTTTATTTTTAGTTAGCTGATGTATTGTGCGTGCCTGGCCCGTCGATTTTAACGCAATTTAAAAAACAAATCAAATTTTAAAGAAGAGAAAAAATAACCATTGATTTCCTCAAAACATTTCATATGCAATTTTGTCTGTCGATTTAAAAAACAATTTGAAAAAAAATCGAATTTTTAAAAAATAATTTCTATTAATTTCTATTTGGGGGGGGGGGTGGTAAATTGGATATATTATCAATTAATAAATATGCTCCTTTAATTCATAATATATTAAACACTTTATTTATAAAATATCTAAAAAAAACCCAGTTTTTAAGATGGGAACAAAAATTATTTGTTCAACAGATGAAAATTGTATTAGAAGATTCAGAAACCTATCTGGGATTGAGTTAAAAAAACGCACAAATAACAAAACAAAATAATAAAGTTTATGCCCAGACAATTTACATAAAATGCAGGGTGTCTCAAAAAAATGCAGTAGGGGTATTAGTAACTGAGGAAACAATTTTCGTTCAATTTTTACGATCAAGGTGTCATTCGAAAGCTCTATATTTCAGTTATTTCATGATGTGAAATTTTTCTTTCTAGGCCTCATACTTTTTTTGTTACAACCAATTATTTGAGCGTAAGTCGAAAATCGATTTCCCGGATTTTTCAATTTTTCGATTTTTCACGTCTCATTTTCATTCGTTCATAAAGTATGGAAAAATTTAAAGATTTTCGAAATTTTGTTTATAATCATAAGCTGTTAGTCTTAGGTTTCATTTTTAACTAAAGTTTTGGATCAGCGATTATTACTTTTGAAGCTAGAGCAATCTAAAAAAAATATATGCATTGAAAAAAAAACGAAAAGAGAGCTACGGGTACCTCCGTACGAACCATGCCCAGACCACATAAATAATTTTTTTTTAAATTTTCTTTTTGAAATCAGTTGGTACAATCCTCAGCTCGCTATTTCAATCAATTTTTTTTTTATCTAACCCACCAAAGATAGAACATTTTTTGTGAATCTGAAATTACAAAAAAAAAACTTTAAAAAAGTCATCACTTAAATTAATAATATTTTTACTTTAGAAATGATGTTCACGCTTTCATTTATCTTTGTACCCTGGTGGGTTAGATAAAAAAATTTGATTGAAATAGCGAGCTGTGGATTGTACCAACTGATTTCAAAAAGAAAATTAAAAAAAAAAAATATTTTTGTGGTGTGGGCAAGGTTCGTACGGAGGTACCCGTAGCTCTCTCTCCCTGTTTAAAAACTAAAATGAAGATATAACTGTTGATGCAGGAGGGTAAGCTTAACGGATACCTGATGTGTCTTGGTCTGAAGCCTTTTGCAAACAAGAGTGCCACTGTACAGTAAGCATAATATTATTTCATGTGGGGGAATGTTTATAAATTCATTTTAGTATGATTGTAAATGTATGAGTTGTAATTTTATAGTAAACTAATGGGTTTAACTAGAATTTATCTGGATGAACATTGTACAGGGCTGGGAACTTTTGAGTGGGATATCGTTAATCCCGATCGGTTAACTAATCTGGAGATTAAGAAAAAGAGGATCTATCAAGAATTACTCTCAATATCCACCATTCTAAAGTTTTCTGCTCAATAAGAACTGTACAAGAACACCCGTCAAAAAATGCCAGTTAACTAAATTAAGACACATTAAATTTGCCACTAATAGTCTCTTCAGTCAATAGAAGCTTCTACAAACAGTATTATAAGTTCATAAAATCTGCTTTCTAATGTTTATTTCTTTGTATACACTGTTAAACATTTACCAAAAATTTCAGACTTGATTGGCGAATTTCCAGTACTTATAAAATTGAGAGAACCCCATTTTTTCTAAATTTAGGTTTCTTGACTCCGCCAAGGAGCAGCTGGAGAACTTGGTGAACCAGGTGGAGGAGGACACCATCAAGAAGGAGATCTCCGGGGAAGAGCTAGAGCTGGCCAAGCTTGAACTCTCCAGAAATCCTCCTTCTCCTGGAGCCAAGGCGGAGATTCTACCCAACCTTCAGGTTATCAGTCTTGTCCGACGGTTTCTCTCCGGGCTCCCTCTAACCTCTGGAAACCTCAAGGAGCTCCGGGCCATGAAAGGTCTAGCGAGCAAGATCATGAAAACCCAGGTTTTAAAGGTTAAGGATCAGGGTTCGGTGTCGGAGAAGAAGTTGCTCCAGGTTCTGGTTCGGAGTCTGGCTAGAGAAGGAATTCTCTCTGGAGAATGTTTTGATATTGAACCCATCCCGAAGATTGTGATTCCAAATTTAAAAGTTGATCCTCTCAAGTGTGAAACCTTCAATTTAAAGGAAAAGGGCATATGTTATATATATTTTTTTTAAAAAAAAATCTGGGCAAAAATTACATCTTTTAAATAAGATAAAATGACATAAAATTATAGTTAGTGAATTTATTTAACTATAACTTAACATTTTTGTTTGCATAAATTAATATAAAGAGCCCTTGCAGGATATAAGTCGGTATAACGCTTGTATCGAACTGATAACATCAATGATCCCTGCCGAGATTGCTGCGCTCACCAAAAGTGTCCGGCTCACGGGGCAGCTTACTCAAAGGTTCAAACTATCAAATAATAATATCAATAATAATGATACTAGTATTAAAATAATTATAATAATTGCAGTCAACATTTTATTGAAAATTGTAAATCCAGTTATATAATTGTAGCTACTGAATTGCCCCCTTTTTTGTTATTTATTTTCATTTGGAAATATGAATACATTTTTAGGCTAAACCCTGAGGAGCATTATTTGCGCTTGATGAATCAGCTGGGTGGGTCAACCAAACCTGCAACATTAGATAATCTTTCTATAATATTATCCAAGGTTAGAACCAAACCTGCAACATTAGATAATCTTTCTATAATATCCAAGGTTAGAACCAAACCTGCAACATTAGATAATCTTTCTATTATGTTATCCAAGGTTAGAAACAAACCTGCAACACTAGATAATCTTAAATATTAGCCAAGGTTAGAACCAAATTGGCAACATTAGATAATCTTTCTATAATATTATCCAAGGCTAGAACCAAACCTGCAACACTTCTATAATATTATCTAAGGTTAGAACCAAACCTGCAACACTTCTATAATATTATCTAAGGTTAGAACCAAACCTGCAACATTAGATAATCTTCATTATAATATTATCCAAGGTTAGAACCAAACCTGCAACACTAGATAATCTTTCTATTATTTTACCCAAGGTTAGAACCAAACCTGCAACATTAGATAATCTTTCTATAATATTATCCAAGGTTAGAACCAAACCTGCAACACTAGATAATCTTTGTATTATATTATCCAAGGTTAGAAGTTAGCTTTACAAGAAGGAACTTGTAAACCAGACAATTGTTATTAAATTATAGTAAGCCTAGCCAACTTAGTGTTTAATATGAGTTTAAATAAAAATTAAAGCACAAACTTTTAAAACTGTTCACAAAATTTTTTTAGATCTGTTAACAAATCTTTTTTTAATTGTTCACAAAATTTTTGTTTTTTTTAGCTGGGTCAGCTGAAGAAGCTACAGAGATGGAGGGATGCAGGTGTACTGATCGATAAAACTTTGGAATTCATAAACAGGTTCATACAGCAGTCAAATTAAAAAATTTCATGATTTTTTATTTCCCATACTACCCTAAAAGAAAAAAGCGATTGGTAATCTTTTTTCTTTTTAAAATTGTCTCAAGATGGGATTTTGAAAAAAAACCTAAAATTTTTATTTTATTCCGATTAGGTCAATATTTTGAAATATTTTTTCAAATAATAACGTTATAATATTTGTAATGCTCTTCTTACTTCTAGTGAGGGTATAGGAGGAGTTGGAGGACGAGGTCTTCCCTTGCTCCTCAGTGAAGACAGGTTGTGTGTTGACCTCTTGAAGAACAAGGAGGAGGAGAAGGACGGGGAGAAGAACATGGATCCGAACCTGTACAGACAGGCTGTAGCAGTTCTCAGCTCAGGAGATACTACGGTTAAACAGTTACAAGGTAGAGACACAATTTTCCCCTTTCCCTCCACCCTTACTTCGGCCTTTACTTTCCCCTCCATCTCTCTAACCCTCGTCCCTTCCTCTCTCTCTCTTCAAACCCTCTACCCTTCTTCCCTCACTCTCCTTTTCATCCCTGTACCCCTCGTCACTCCCAATCTCTCTACCCCTCTTCCCTTCCCCTCCTTTCCATCGTTATAACCCTCGTCCTTCCATCTCTCTTCCATCCCTCTTCCCTCCCTCTCCTTTTCATCCCTCTACGTCTTGTCCCTCCCACTCTCTCCCATCCCTCTTCCCTCCCTATCCCCCTCGTTCCTCCCTCTTTTTTTCATTCCTCTACCCCTCGTCCCTCCCGCTCTCTCCCATCCCTTTACCCCTTTCAGCCCCCCCATCCTTCTAATCCTATTATGACTGCAAAATATGTTTGTTTTTATATTAGACTTTTTCACGTTCACAATGAGAGTCCCCCATAATGAGTGTGTCTTCTTCTTTTGCAACATAATAAAATTTAAATATCTCCATTGATATATATATACTTATGTGTCTATATATTTATATTTATATTTATATTTATATTTATATTTATATTTATATTTATATTTATATTTATATTTATATTTATATTTATATTTATATTTATATTTATATTTATATTTATATTTATATTTATATTTATATTTATATTTATATTTTTACTTTTATTTGTCTAAACATATAAGAAATATATTTCTAGGATGAAAACAGATAACATAGTTTCAAGATGAATTTTTTCAAGAGTATTTCAAAAGTATATTTTTCAAGATGGATATAGGAAAAATATATCCAGGATGGATATAGCGAATATATTTCCAGAATTGATATAAAGAATTTATTGAGATAGAGAATATATGTCCTGGATGTATGTCGATCGAGTTCTGCTCTTTCTGGGGAAAGTATTACAATCTTAGAGGATCAAACAAAGAATGTGAACATGTACATGAAAGAAGCTTACATAAACCTGGATAGGTTATCCCTTAGAAAGCTGTCAAGAAGCTGTGATTCTAAATTTATCTCTTGAATCGTGAGGAAGGAGGAGAAGAGAGTTCGGGTGGATGTCCCAGGTCCTGCCTAATTCCTCACCGACAAGCTAGAACTTGTCCTTCTTCTCCGAACTTGGGCGTTTTTTTGGACATTAAAATTTTTGATGAAAAAGTTGTGTTCTGCTCTCTTCAGGATATCCAGAGCAAGACAAAGTATTTCTGTAGATCGGTCAGCGAGAACTTTCATACTAAAATTGGACTGATTGAAAGATATGAGAAAAAATAAATTGACCTGTAAATTGATCTGTACCGTCCTTCATGTCAAGAACAACGACTACTCTGTGGAGGTGGGGGTCTTTCTCATCAATGTACCTGAACAGTTGGAATATCTCGATCGATACAAGTTTCTTCTGTAAATCCTCTAAACCCACATCCCTTGATCTCCCAAAGAAGAAAAAATCGAACCCCACATCGGCTCCCAAGAAACAGATCTCTTTGAAGACCGTTCTTACCTCCCTGGGTCTAACAGAAATAGAAGGTACTATTCTAGCGGACGCTGTTCCTGCTGTCAAGGAGTTTAAGGACACAACCACCTTGAGCATGATAGGAGCGTTCCTGCAGGACTTCTACACAGGATCTTGGAGCTAGCAACGAGTACCAGTCCTTGAAAGGATTGAAAGGAAAAGTGCTTAATTAAAAAGGTACTGAAAGGATATTATTTGAGCAGTAAATTTGTAGTATGATACATCTTTATAGATAAATACTTCTCCCTGCATTTGGGCTAAAGGAGGCCAACTATTCACTTAGGTTATTAGGTGAAGGAAGGGTCAGCTCAATGATAAATGACAGTGGAGGACAGATGAGAGCTTGCAATCCGTGTAANCGTCTGCAGCAGGAAACAGTCAATTTTTTCCATCTCGGCCTAAACTAAATATTGAAATCTGCAAAGTAGGTAAACAGCTTGAGCATTGTAATCACTGATTTACCCAAGGCTGGATTAACATCGATGATCCTTGTAGAGTCACCAAACCAAGATTTCTGCTCCTGAATCATGTGCGCCCTGCATGCATTGGCCAAGTCACAATCTCCTGAATGGCCTCTAATGTCCATCCATTCTTATTAGCGAGTGTGCGAACATGAGGAAATTGAACTGCTATCTTGTCCCATGCATAAGAAAATCACATAAGATCCTGTAAAATTGTTTCTACTTGCTGCACTAGGACCCACAGTTGAATTTAAAAAAGTTTTAATCTCTGTCATTCCTGTAACATTAACGTTATATTAATACATGCTGAAAGTTTAAGGTTACATAATTTAGAAGAATTTTTCCATTAATTTCAGCTTACTCATATTACCAGTTTATCTCGTTCTTGTTACAAAAGCCTTAAATGTCACATATTTCTGAAAATTATACAATTCATTATTTCTTAACTAAATCAAAAATTCTTACATAGAACAATGATTTTACATGAGTTCAGATTTAAATGTGTAGAATTGATTTAATAAGAGTTATTAAATATAACAATAGATGATAAAAAGTGGGATCAGAAAGGGGACTAAACAGGATTTAATTAAGAATCGTTCATAAAGTTTATTTATATTCAATATTCATACTTTTGAGTATTTTGTAAGTTTATTGTTATATTATATTTGGAATAAACGAAACAGTTTTGTGAGGGTGGTGTCGTGAAATCCTGGGTAGAGTGATGGAATATGAAGGGTATTTGTTGGATATATGGAAATACTGACTGGTTCTCGTTGTTAGCTCCAAGATCCTGTGTAGAAGTCCTGCAATATTTTGAAAACTCACACAATGCATGTTCAACAAGTTTACATTTTATTGTCAAAGCAGGTGGTATGCTGAGTGAAGAAAACTTCCTATCAGTTTGCTTTGTGATTACAAATAATTTTTTCATGAGGGAGAATTGCTCACTTAAACTACACTGGAAGATATACATCCATCCTTTACAAGCTCCAGGACCAAGTTCAGCCCAGTAGTCTAAGGAGTTGACTGTGATAACACTGGCGTCAGTAAGATCACAGAGTATCTGCCATGCAAAGAATGGTCCCACATTGGGAATGCTTTTAATCACGGCAAAACGATCTTCCAGGACAGAATAACTCCTGAGCTGATCAAAGAGGTTTAGAATATTTTTCTAACAAAAACAGAGAGTCTGCATATACCTCTCCCAACCCATGTTTTGATGAACAAATGTGAATACAGGAAACCCCTTGTCCATCTCATTCTTCACAAACTCAAGGAACTTATCAGCCTCAGGGAGATCAGGTATACCAACAGGACAGCTAATAAAAGTTTCCACTTTGTTCATCAGTCTATAGGTTATACTCTTAAAGAGGACTGAGGACAGAGCCTCTGATCTAGGATTCCAGAAGAGAAGAAAGGAACTCTCAGGAACTGGGTTCCCTGGTCCAGTTCTCGAGCAAGGTTGGTGAATTTGTGGTATTTCCCTACTTAAAGTCTATACTTCCTGACCTATACTATTTTACCATGCACTAAAAACCCCTACTTCTCTTTGCAGCACCCCACCCTTTCTTCTGCAAAGTTGATAAGCTTCTGACCCTTGCGACATCCAGCTCTACTCCCTGCTGTGATCAAGCTTCTGAAATGGGTTAGGTGTAACCATTATTGTACCCTAGGCAGAGAAATCAGTTTTCCACATTTCCAACTAACCGCATGACTGTTATATTTTAAGTTTGTTTATTATCTCAAGGAATTTGTTTTTGTTATGTGTGGCTGATTGTTTCAACTGAACAACTAGAAACACTTTCTACATCTCTGTCTCTGCACCATAACCAAAAACCGAACCTATACTTCCCTAACCCTTACTCTAATCTTCCTCTCTCTTGATCCCTTCCCCTCGTTTACTTGGATTGCATGCTCTCATCTGTCCTCTGCTGTCATTTATCATTGAGCTAACCCTTCCTCCACCTAATAACCTAAGTGAATGGTTGGCCTCCTGAGCTCAAATGCAGGGAGAAATATTTATCTATAAAGATGAATCATACTACAAATTTACTGCTCAAATAATATCCTTTCATTACCTTGACTTTTTGAATAAAGCACTTTTCCTTTCAATCCTTTCAAGGACTGGTACTCGTTGTTAGCTCCAAGATCCTGTGTAGAAGTCCTGCAGTATTTTGAAAACTTGCACAATGCCTGTTCAACAAGTTTACAGTTCATTGTCAAAGGAGGTGGTATGCTGAGTGAAGAATACTTCCTATCAGCTTGCTTTGTGATCACAGTTAGTTCCTTCATGAGGGAGAATTGCTCACTTAAACTACACCAGAAGCTATACATCAATCCTTTACAAGCTCCAGGACCAAGTTCAGCCCAGTCATCTAAAGAGTTGACTGTGATACATTGGCTTCAGTAAGATCACAGAGTATCAGCCACACAAAGAATGGTCCCACATTGGGAATGCTATTAATCACAGCAAAACAATCTTCTAGGACAGAACAACTCCTGAACTGATCACAGAGGTTTAGAATATTTTTCTGACAAAAACGGACAGTCTGCATATACCTCTAATAAAAGTTTCCACTTTGTTTATCAGTCTATAGGTTATACTCTTTAAGAGGACTGAGGACAGAGCCTCTGATCTGGGATTCAAGCACAGAAGAAGGGCAAGGATCTGTTTGCTCAGGAACTGGGTTCCCCAGTCCAGTTCTCGAGCAAGGTTGGTGAATTTGTGATGTTTAAATATTGGATCCGTTCCCGAATCCTCCTTTCCTTCTTGCTTGATTTGCCATTCCAGAAGGAATTTCAATACGCTGCTATCATACTCAAGGTGGTCATGTCCTTAAACTCCTTGATTATTTCAATTTTTATGCCTCGCTCTACATGTGTAGTGTACACGTTTGTGAGTTTTGCCAGACAGAACAGCTGAGTTTGGTGTCGCGCATTTCCACTGCAAAATCAAGCTGCACATCTTCTCTCAGCTGTTCCCTACCACCTGCTTTATTTCAGTAACATTTAGTTGCCCCTCCTCTGGCTTAATCTCCTTATTAACCCAAAAAGTTCTGTTTTCCTACTTAAAGTCTATACTTCCTGACCTATACTGCTAAAGGTTAAGGAGGACCCCAGCATCTTCATTCCCAGAGTCTTGGACAATCCTTTCAAGGACTGGTTCTCCTGTTAGCTCCTAGATCCTGTGTAGAAGTCCTGCAATATTTTGAAAACTCAAACAACGCATGTTCAACAAGTTTACAGTTTAATCTCAAAGGAGGTGGTATGCTGAGTAAAGAAATCAGCTTGCTTTGTGATCAAAGTTAGTTTCTTCATGAGGGAGAATTGCTCACTTAAACTACACTGGAAGATATACATCAATCCTTTACAAGCTCTAGGACCAAGTTCAGCCTAGTCGTCTAAGAAGTTGACTGTGATAAGGCTGGCTTCAGTAAGATCACAGAGTATCTGCCATGAGAAGAACGGTCCCACATTTGGAATGCTTTTAATCACAACAAAACAATCTTCTAGGACCGAACAACTCCTGAGCTGATCACAGAGGTTAGAATATTTTCCTGACAAAAACGGACAATCTGCATATACCTCTCCCAACCCATGATTTGATGAATGGATGTTAATAGAGGAAACCCCTTGTCCATCACATTCTTGACAAACTCAAGGAACCCTCTGGGAGATCAGGTATACCAACAGGACATCTATTAAAAGTTTCCACTTTTTGCTCATCAGTCTATAGGTTATACTCTTAAAGAGCCTCTAATCTGGGATTCTTGGAGAAGAAGGGGAAGGATCTGTTCTCTCAGGAACTGGGATCCCTGGTCCAGTTCTCTAGCAAGGTTGGTGAATTTGTGGTGTTTAATTATTGGATCCGTTCCCAGATCCTCCTTTCCTCTTTTCTGGTATAGCCACCTGATTTGCCATTCCACAAGGAATTTCAGTAATGCTGCTATAATGCGTAAGGTGGTCATGTCCTTAAACTCCTTGATTATTTCAATTGATTATGCCTCTTTCTACGTGCGTAGTGTACACAGTTGTGAGTTTTGTCCGACAATACAGCTGAGTTTGGTGTCCCCCGTTTCTGCGTTAAAATCAAGCTGCGCATCCTCTCCCAGCTGTTTCACCCCTCCCTACCACCTGTTTTATTTTAATGACATAACTGGGTTCCCCAGTCCAGTTCTCGAGCAAAGTTGGTGAATTTGTGGTGTTTAAATAATGGATCTGTTCCCGGATCCTCCTTTCCTCTTTGCCGGTATTGCCACCTGATTTGCCATTCCACAAGGAATTTCAGGAATGCTGTTATCATGCTCAAGGTGGTTTCAAAGGAGGTGGTATGCTGAGTGAAGAATACTTCCTATCAGCTTGCTTTGTGATCACAGTTAGTTTCTTCATGAGGGAGAATTGCTCACTTAAATTACACTGGAAGATATACATCAATCCTTTACAAGTAACAGGACTAAGTTCAGCCCAGTCATCTAAGAAGTTGACTGTGATAACACTGGCTTCAGTAAGATCACAGAGTTTCTGCCATGAGAAGAACGGTCCCACATTGGGAATGCTTTTAATCACAGCTAAACAATCTTCTAGGACAGAACAACTCCTGAGCTGATCACAGAGGTTTAGAATATTTTTCTGACAAAAATGGACAATCTGCATATACCTCTCCCAACTGATGTTTTGATGAATGGATGTGAATACAGGAAACCCCTTGTCCATCTCATTCTTCACAAACTCAAGGAACTTATCAGATTCAGGGAGATCAGGTATACCAACAGGACATCTAATAAAAGTTTCCACTTTGTTCATCAGTCTATAGGTTATACTCTTAAAGAGGACTGAGGACAGAGCCTCTGATCTGGGATTCAAGGAGAGAAGAAGGGCAAGGATCTTTTCTCTCAGGAACTGGGTTCCCCAGTCCAGTTCTCAAGCAAAGTTGGTGAATTTGTGGTGTTTTAATATTGGATCTGTTCCCGGATCTTCCTTTCCTTCTCGCCGGTATTGCCACCTGATTTGCCATTCCACAAGGAATTTCAGGAACTCTGCTATCATGCTCAAGGTTGTCATGTCCTGAAACTCCTTGATTATTTCGATTTATTATGCCTCTTTTTATGTGCCTAGTTTTCAAGGTTGTGAGTTTTGCTGGTCAGGACAGCTGAGTTTAGTGTAGGGGGTTTCTGCAGCAAAATCAAGCTGCGCATCTTCTCTCAGCTGTTTCCCCCCCTCTCCTCCCTCCCTACCACCTGCTCTATTTTAATAACATTTAATGGCTCCCCTCTGGCTTATTCTCCTTATTAACCCAAAAAGTTCTGTTTCCCTACTTAAAGTCTACGCTTCCTGACCTATACTGCTAAAGGTTAAGGAGGACTCCAGCATCTTCATTCCCAGTGTCTTGGACAATCCTTTCAAGGACTGGTTCTTGTTGTTAGCTCCAAGATCCTGTGTAGAAGTCCTGCAATATTTTGAAAACTCGCACAACGGTTGTTCAAACAAGTTTACAGTTTATTGTCAAAGGAGGTGGTATGCTGAGTGAAGAAATCAGCTTGCTTTGTGATCACAGTTAGTTTCTTCATGAGGGAGAATTGCTCACTTAGTTTCTTCATGAGGGAGAATTGCTCACTTAAACTACACTGGAAGATATACATCAATCCTTTACAAGCTCCAGTACCAAGTTCAGCCCAGTCGTCTAAGAAGTTAACTCTAATAAGGCTGGCTTCAGTAAGATCACAGAGTATCTGCCATGCAAAGAACGGTCACACATTAGGAATGCTTTTAATAACAGCAAAACAATCTTCTAGGACAGAACAACTCCTGAGCTGATCACAGAGGTTTAGCATATTTTTCTAACAAAAACGGACAATCTGCATATACTTCTCCCAACCCATGTTTTGATGAACGGATGTGAATACAGGAAACCCCTTGTTCATCTCATTCTTCACAAACTCAAGGAACTTATCAGCCTCAGGGAGATCAGGTATACCAACAGGACATCTAATAAAAGTTTCCGCTTTGTTCATCAGTCCTTAGGTTATACTCTTAAAGAGGACTGAGGACAGAGGCTCTAATCTGGGATTCGAGGAGAGAAGAAGGGCAAGGATCTGTTCTATCAGGAACTGGGTTCCCCAGTCCAGTTCTCAAGCAAGGTTGGTGAATTTGTGGTATTTTCCTACTTAAAGTCTATACTTCCTGACCTATACTATTTTACCATGCACTAAAAACCCCTACTTCTCTTTGCAGCACCCCACCCTTTCTTCTGCAAAGTTGATAAGCTTCTGACCCTTGTGACACCCAGCTCTGGTCCCTGCTGTGATCATGCTTCTGAAATGGGTCAAGCGACCCCATTATTGTACCCTAGGCAGAGAAATCAGTTTTCCACAATTCCAACTAACGGCATGACTGTTATATTTTAAGTTTGTTTATCATCTCAAGGAATTTGTTATTGTTATGTGTGGTTGTTATAGAATTGTTTCTACTGAACAACTAGAAACACTTTATACATCTCTGTTTCTGCACCATCATCAAAAAAACCGAACCTATACTAAACTAACCCTTCCTCTAATCTTCCTCTCTCTTATAGTTGGCCTCCTGTAGCCCAAATGCAGGGAGAAGTATTTATCAATAAAAATGTATCATAATTCCATTACTTGGCATGCACATATTACTATATTTATTGTATAAGTGATAATTGACCAACCTACTGTGTAGACACTACTCTGGGAACCACTTCTTTGATGGAAGTCTATTCTAGATAGAAGTTGTCAACTAACATGTCTAGCACCAGGCCTCTTTCGAGCATATCAGTTCTTTGGAGTTCCTTATCCTGACTAAGGAACATTCTTGCCACTTCAATTTCATCCTGGCTTCTTGCTTGGAGCTCTATTAGTGTTGACTCCAATGATCTCCCATTCCGTAACTTTATCTCCAATCTGGCTGGGATCATTAAGATGCATTTCATGAGCAGATGGAATTCATTATTTGAACCTTGACCTGTATTACTTGGCCACTGTCCTGACTTACTGAATCTGCAGCCCTGTAATTTAGGTAGCAGGGACATTGAGAAAATATTGAGACTATTGAGATATCAATAATATGTACCCAGGATGGATGAAGAGAAAATATTTCCAGGATGGATATAGAGAATATATTTCCAGGATGGAAGTAGAGAAAAACTAAATTCTTATTTAATAACAGGCTGTAGATGCAGGCCACGGTAGTTGGAGCTTCACGGCTTTGGCTACTGCCACATGGGCATATCAGTTTCATTGCACATGTCATGCTAACTCTGTGATCCATGCACCCCAAAAGGGGGCTCTGGGTTGCAGTGAGGTGTGGTTGCTTGGTAACACTTGTGTTATTGGGGAGTCTTAATAGATAGATAGCGAATCACAAATAAGGCAAACCACATTGTGAAATGCCAGAGGATCTTGTGGAGTTTCAAAAAGTCATTTATCGAAAATATGCAGTAACTTATTTTAAAGACCATAGACTATAGGCCCTTTTAACTGTCATGTTTCATTGGACACAATGTGCTCTCATTTATTTTTCATTTTTTAATATTGTCTGATCAATATTATATCTAGAGCTGAGCTTAAACTTGGTAGTAGGATCTGGAGACTGGGATTCAGTTCTCCGTAACCCAGGGAAATTAGGAACTACTTCATCCCTAGCTCGGAGCTTAGTTAACCTTCACATCAGCATCCCTTTAAACAATCCACAGGTATTGGAGTTGTTTTAACTCTATAGAGAAAGTTTAAGTGTCTCCATGTAAAGATTTTTTTATTAAAATAAGCAAATATTTTGGCGCGACAACATTTTTGGTGGTTCAAGTTAGAATACTGTAATTTAAGCCTAGGATTAGGTTAGGTATTCTAAGTCGCCACAGGCTATGAAAGGGGGTTAGAGCTTTTTTTAGGACAGGCTAGGTGGCCTAGTGCTGCGGATAGGAAAGGTTCCCAATAAGGAAAAAAATAACGTATATAAAAAATGGCATTTACTGACTCTTGCAAAAATGTCGGGTTTCTATTCATTACAAGGAAAAAGTTGATGTTTTGAAATATTAAAACAAAGTTTTCATTAAATCCTAATTTAAGATGATAAAGAAGTTAGGACGCGAAGTGTGGGATCTGATATTTCCTTATGTATCCTCTGTAGGAAATAAGAGAGGGAAGGATCAGACATTAAACACTCTCCAGGTATAGGCATAAGTTTTGACCCTGACCCTTAGATTGACCCAAACTTGACCCTAAGCTTGACCTTTAAAATTGACCCTATGCTTGACTCAAAACTTGACCCTTTTGACCCTTAATCGCTACTGTGGAAAGGACCACAACTTTGACCTTCTGCCTATTGCCCATTTCTTTTAGATCTGCACAGCAACTTTGATCTTAATCTCAGTTTTAAACAAATTGGGGATCTTTCATGATCTTTTTCTTATCTTATTAAACATTACTATGGTTTAACATTAATTGTGCCTGTGAATGGGACTTTGAAGTTTGTCCACTACCGAAATTCTATCCACAGTACAACCCTGGTTGTGACTAAACCCGGTAACCCAACCATGACTGTGAATTTGACCTCTGTCATAACCTTGACCTTGACATGACCATGACCATGACCATTTGCAGGACAGGGCCCAGGTGCAGGGGTTCCTTGAGAATATTCGGAATCCAGATCTCGCAGTTCTTGTTCTATCTCTTCTAGCAACTCTTTTCAATGTTGTCAGGTAAGCTCTAAAATGCTTAATATTTTTCCATTGTTTACATCCTAATTGAACATGCTCACCTGGGAGAACCCTTTATTGGATCAATAATGTGAAAGATATGTCATATTTCTAGTTTAAAAATGAACAAATTCTGAAGATGACCTCCAAAAGGATATTAACTCAAAAGAAATTTATACGTCACTTTTACTGAGAAGCCACAATTAAAAATAATCAAATATCATAAAGAGAATAATGTGGGGGGGGGGGGCCACGCACTTAAAAGAAGATTTTTTTTCAAAAAAAACAAGTGCCTGAAAGCCCCAAATATTTATATCATTTTGCGGTCGGCCATTTTTTCTTTCTTTCATTTTTCTGCATTTTTAGAGATGATCCGAGTACAGAACTGGTTTCTACTTTTTCTAGTGTTTGGCCCTCAGGAATAGTAGAGATACATATTATTATTATTATTATTATTATTATAAAATTTGTCGGGGAGCTCCATTTTGGTTTCCATTCAGATTTACCTTTTTTGATTTTGAGCTATTAATTGATTTTGAGCTTTTTATTGATTTTGAGCTATTAATTGATTTTGAGCTATCAATTCAGTTTGAGCTTTTTATTGATTGTGAGCTATTAATTGATTTGAAGCTTTTTATTGATTTTGGGCTATTAATTGATTTGGAACTATAATTTGATTTGGAGCTTTTAATTGATTTGGAGCTTTTATTGATTGGGAGCTCTTTATTGATTTGGAGCTTTTTATTGATTTCGGGCTATTAGTTGATTTGGAGCAGTTTATTGATTTGGGGCTATTAATTGATTTGGAGCTAATAATTGATTTGGAGCTTTTTATTGATTTAGGGCTATTAATTGATTTGGAGTTTTCTTTTATTTATTTGGAGCTATTAATTGATTTTGAGCTATTAAATGATTTGGAGTTTTTATTGATTTTGAGCTATTAAATGATTTGGAGTTTTTATTGATTTGGACTATTAAATGATTTGTTTATCACACAAATTATTAATCAGGACTAGCAACAAACCAGGGAATCCAGGAGAAACTAGTTCAGGTTGGTCAAACTTCTTTTAAATGACATTTTTCTGAAATCGTCAAACAACTTTGATCGTTTTTCTATCAATTCTGAAATCAAAATTAAAGAAGTTTTTGCGCAACCAAAAAATATTTTAAAATACAATTTTAAAATCAAAATTCCAAAAGTCATTTTTTTTATTTTTGATACAATTTAGCCTGTTTAGGAACTAGTGGACGGTGTTATGAAGGTTTATCGGAAAAGATTTCCAAAAGATTCTCTGATTGTTCAAACCTCAGGGGATCTCCAGTACGCAAACTCAAACTTCAGGTCAAATAATTCCGAGACATTAACTATAGTAAAAATAATTGTAGAAATTATCATTATTATGGAAAGGAAATATTTTGCTTATTACTATGAAAATTATTCTTGATATTTTAGACATCCTCGACTTCAAAGGCTTAAGCTTTGGTTTTTCCCTACTAAGTCAATTTTTGTAGCCCTAGACACATACATTTTACAACAGCAACGTGCTTGTTTCTAGCTTAAGTTCAAAGGGAGTAATTGGTAATGATTTGTTACTTTATCTATGATCATAATCTTTTCTGGTGAAATATTGCGATTTTGAAACAAAACAAAATATTTCGATTTTGAAAATATGTTTTATTTTTAAATTTTATTGTTCTTTAGGTCCGCCCTGGCTCAGTATGTGGAGATGGTGGCTCTAAAAACAGATTTTTTTGAACAACCCATTGATCAGGAACCATATTTATTTTATTATTATTTTCTGCAAAGCCCCTGTTTCCCCTTTCTTCCCCTTTCTAAATTTAAGGAAACCGAAAGTGAATACAAATATTTGTTCCCTACCAAGGTGGGGGACAAAGTACCTCAATCTAAATCTGTTTATGATCCCAGCGTGCTTAGGATATATTATACAGCCCTAAAACTTATTATGAATGGTGTTCAGTGTGTACTGTCTGATTGTTATGTAAACAGAATGGTTCGCTGTTGTGCTGAAATGAACCGGTTAACTCAGGTAAAAGTTGTTTCTAGAAATGAATGGAAAACTATTTCAGGTTTAATAAAAAATGATGTTACATTTATCTAATTAAGTTTGTATGTATGTCCGATCATAACTCATGAACACCTTAACCGACTTGCAACATCTATTGATTGGGAAACTTGGTAGTACCAGGGGATTGATTTAGCTTGGTGTTCTTAGCTAAGTAGGTGCACTGACGTAAATAAGGAAAACTTAGTTTCCAGGCAAAGCTGGGTTTCCAACAAGATATTAGAAGTATTTTAAAACTTTTCTTATCAATAGCTTTTCCGAATAGAAGTTGTTTTGTGAGACATCTTGCATGGCTTTAATCCAATGTACTTTTAACTATTGATAAGAGAAATTATAAATTGATGAAAGAAACTAACTAGCTTGTCTTTGAATCAAACTTTATAGCCTTCCAGGGTTCTTACACTTGATTTTGATAATAGTAAAAATTGTCTGATGTGCATGGCGTTGCCTGGGAATGCATGGTCATAGTTCTATATTTTTATCGTTTACCCGCGCTTTGTATTAAGTTATTAACTCATGATTTTAGCTGAAGTCCCCAGTGTTGCCCGTGAAATTACGAAATTTAAGAAAAAAAACTCGAAATTTGTTAACCGTTCCCTCATAAAAGAAATATATTTACATGAGTGAAGAGCTTTATTATATAGAATATAGATGTATTATAATTAAGGCTGTTGTGTTGAGCCAACTGAATGCAGAACCAAACTATGCACAGGTCTGTTGATCTCAAACCAAACAGCAACATTTTTAGTCAATTTTTACAACTGTTTTTACTATAAATTTATGTTTGGATTTTTTTTCTGTTTCTGATTTTGATTTTAAATTTTTTCTATTTCATTCTCTCTTCAAATCCAATCAAATCAATAAATATGGGATTGTTCAACAGCTCCTTCATCACAATCCCTTTCAGAGCAAGGCTTTTCAGTCTAACATAGTTTAGTCAGTGCTTAGGATCCGGATCCGGATCTGTTGGATCCGCAAGATTTTGGCTTCCTGGATCCGGATCCTGATTCTTAAAAATATGCGGATCCACGGTTCCGGATCCAAGGAGCATTTTGCTCCAAACCCCAAATATGAACTTTCGAAAAAAGAGAACTCATAAAAATTTTCTGATTTCTGAATGGTTCATCAAATTTTATGAGCGAAAAAATAGGGAATAAAAAATTTAGTATTCTGTTAGGTTAAAAAACTCAGTAAATTCTTAAGAAATAACCTGAAACCGGATCCGGATCCATTTTTTTCCAATCCTCATTAAAATTAAATGGATCCTAAGCACTGGTCTAAGCCTAACATGTTATTCTTCTATATTCAATTCTTTTTATCTATGGTCTATTGTATTCTTCTTTTCTGCTCAATTTTTGTCAATCATTTTCTATTCTACTTTTTTTTGTTTTCTGCTTTTCTTTTCTTTATCAATTACTTGCTACTATATTATATTTTTTTCTAATATGTTATATTATTTTATACTCAACTCTAGTATGTTTTTTTTTGTATTTTATTCTCTTTTTTTACTCAAATTTATCCTACCACAAGTATATCTTCTGCTTGCTTTATTTTATTCTATTCTATATCAGGTGTTCAAGTATCTACAGGACAGAGAAAGCAGTGACTCCCTGGACTCCCTGTACTCCTGTATATGGGATATGACCATTCTAGAGTTTGCCATGAGTCTACATACAAGGTTGGATTAAGAATTATATCCTCCTCGATTGATTGAGTAATTGATTAATTGATCGATTGGTTGGTTGGTTTATTGATTGATTAGTTGATTGTTTATGGGATATGACCATTCTAGACCAGTCTTCATTATTATTATTATTACCAATCAACCTACAGTCAAGGTTGGTTTAAGAATTAAGAGCCTCATCAATTGATTTATTGGTTAATTGATTGATTGATTAATTAATTGATTGATTGATTGATTAATTGGTTGAATGATTGATTAATTGATTAACTGATTGATTAATTGATTGATTTGATGTGGGATATGGGTTATGACCATTGACCATTAGTTTGCTATGTTGGTTCATAGTATTTAAGTTCCTTTTCTTATGATTGAATTTGAATATGGGATATGACCATTTATTGATTGAAAAATTTGACTGGTTAATTGATTGACGATTCTAGAGTTTGCCTTGTTTAAAAGAAAAATCTTCAAAAACTATTTAGATAGTTATGCAAGCTATATCTGTAAAAAAATAACTGTTTTTCATGTGGATAAACTTAGTCTTTGCTATCTTCTTTACCCTGTAATTCATAAACATGATTCTAATATTATATGTTACCCTCTGTTACAACCATCCCGCTGAGTACCCACCCTTTCCTTTATACTTTTTCACCCCCTCCTTACCTTATTCATGATTTATCATCATTGTTTTGTTTAAAATGTACACTGAACAGTGTACATCCATCTATTTATTTACAATTCTTATTCGCTTATAATGGGCCTACCAATCAAAACAACCAACTCTGGTTAGGCGGGTCCAAACTACATAGTAAATTGTGATTTATTATTTGTATTATCTCTTGCTTTGTAATTGAATAAAAATATAAAATATGAAATGAGGAAATGACCATTGACCATAAGTTTGCTATGAGACTTCATACAATGTTGGTTCATAGTATTCAACATCCTTTTCTTGTAATTGAATATGGGATATGACCATTTATTGATTGAAAAATTTAGTTGGTTTTTTGTTTGATTGTATATGGGATATGATGATTCTAGAGTTTGCCATGAGTATACATACATGATTGGTTGAAGAATTATAGTCTCCTCTATTGGTTAATTGATTGATGATTGATTAATTGATTGATTGATTGATTGATTGATTGGATATGGGATATTACTATTGACAATTAGTTTGCTATGAAACTTTTTACAATGTTGGTTCATATTATTCAACATCCTTTTCTTACGATTTAAATTGAATACGGGATTTGACCATTCTATTGTTAGTTATGAGTCCGCAGACTGCCTATAGGGTTTGTTAAGGTTATTAAACACCCTTTTCCCCAATATTGAACAGTGTTTGATTAATCAGTTGGTTGATTGATTGATTGATTGCATGTTTGTTTAATTGATTGATTGTCTAGACGTGGAGAGATAGCACGACGTCGTCAAGTTCTCTCTTGTATAATGCAGCTCGAGCTCAACACAAACAACGAGCAGGGACTAAATATTATTAATAAAATAAATTGATTCTTCACTTATCTTTCATCCATGCTAATCCATAGGTTTTTGAAGCACAACAAAAGTGTTCAAGTTTAAAGTCCCATTTCATTATTCCCCAACATTTTGAAGAATAATTCCGTCTGTTCTAACATTTAACATATTAAGCTTATAGGGCGCTTCGTGCTCATCCTCTATTTCAACTTTTAATTGTGACTTTATCTGTGAGCATCTTCTCTTTGTACAGTATAAAACAAACAAAAAAGTTTGCGGATTTCTTATTATTTTTTTGCGCATTTTCAAAATTTTACAAAAATAGAAAACTTTTAAATACAAAATTCTAAAATTTTTATCATTCATAAACCTTCCCTGGGGTCATGTGAGGTCCCACACAAAATTTGGGTCCGATTGGTTCAACCGTTTTGACGTTTATTGGATACAAAAAAAATAGACAAACAAACAAACAGACAGACAGACAAGCTAAATTTAAATGATAAGGCTTTGCTAGTACAAAAATATTATATATTTCACAATTACCATGAAGAATCAATCTTTACTAATAATAATATTTTTTAGGAAATAAAACGCGAAGCTGCAAATGTTCGAAAGTCCATCTTCTTCAGGTCTTTGGCTTCACAGCTGTTTACCCCAGCCTAGACAGCTGTGACAGAGCAGCTGTTTATTCCAGTATTGACAGTATTTATGTAAACCTTGACAGCTTTAAAAGAAGAGCTAAGTTTTGTCAGCATGCTGCTGACTCCAGTGTAAATTGAAGCTAGTGCAGCTGTTTACAGCTGTTAGAATATTTACAGCTGTCCAACCTTCATATTTGTTAAATCATAATCTTTAATTATCCTTAGCCTAACCTCAGCTGTCTGATCTTCCAAATTGTTGAAATGTTAGTTTCAGATCTTAACAATGTCAATAACTATTTTACCCCAGGATACTGTGCATCTTCTAAAATCAGGACAGGTAAATGGACCTTCTCACTGGTCCCAAAAATAATTATGACTGACGAATACCGGGAAAATCTTGTACTTTGGTCACTAGCCAAGCATTATGGCTAACATTAAAATGGGGCAATTTGAAGCTAGGATAATGATCAGGGATGCATATTGCTTAATGTTTAAAGAATTACATATTTTCTGAGTACCTTGAAAAAGCTTCTGATTTTAACTACTTAATGTTGGTCTTTTTCAATCTTATCTGTTATAACTTTATCCTTTTTATTAAACATCTTTATGCTTCAGGTTATCTCCAGTGTATACGGAGCTGTAAAGGAGCTGGTGGAGAACAGCCTGGATGCAGGCTCCACTAATGTTGAGGTTAGACTGGAGGATTACGGTCTCGCCAAACTGGAGGTCAGAGATAATGGAGGAGGTGGGTCAAATATTTGAAGTTGTAAAGTTTTTCAGCAAAATCAAATATTTTTTTCATTGTGATATTGTTTTTATTTTTTGTTTAATCTAGGAGTAGAAAAAGCTGATGTACCAGCAATGGTGCAACCCCACTCCACCAGCAAAATAGCATCCTTCGCGGAGGTTGAGAACGTTCTCACCTACGGGTTCCGGGGAGAGGCTCTCTCTGCTCTCTGTGCAGTTTCAACTCTTCAGGTTGTCCTTCTCTGTCAATAAGTACAGTGATAGCCAGAAAACAATGGAATTGGAAGACGACATTATGGGAATACTGAAGTGTATTTGATGTTGTTACTAGAGTCTTGAAAAATCACTAGATAAGTTAAATAGGTCTGCCTACACTGCACAATTCCTGTGTCTCATTCTCGTTAAAGTTATACCTAAAAGTCGTCTTCTTATTGAGTTTTCTTGTGAACACTGAATTGGATTGTTAACTCTTCCTTATTAAACCAATTTAAAGATTCATGGGAAATTCCTAGTTTTTCCACAATGCCTCCGAAATATGCAAAAACTATTAAAAATCTTTAAGAATTTTAAATTTTAGATCACTACCAAGACAAAAACAGATTTGGTCGCTTCCACATTTTCTTTTAATAATGACTTCACTATCCAGAAAATTGTTTCACAGGTAAATTTGAGTTCTTAAAGGGACTGTGTAGGCGTAATTTAAAGTGACCATACCTTTGTTTAAAGTGGCATGCCTATTGTCTTTTGTCTATTGTCTAATGTCTATTGTCTATTGTCTATTGTCTAATGTCTATTGTCTATTGACTAATGTCTATTGCCTATTGTCTAATGTCTATTGTCTATTGTCTAATGTCTATTGCCTATTGTCTAATGTCTATTGTCTATTGTCTATTGTCTATTGTCTATTTTCTAATGTCTAGTGTCTATTGCCTATTGTCTAATGTCTATTGTCTATTGTCTAATGCCTTTTGTCTAATGTCTATTGTCTATTGTCTAATGTCCATTGTCCATTGTCCATTGTCTATTGTCTATTGTCTATTGTCTAATGTCTAATGTCTATTGTCTATTGTCTAACGCCTATTGTCTAACGCCTATTGTCTAATGTCTATTGTCTATTGTCTATTGTCTATTGTCTATTGTCTAATGTCTAATGTCTAATGTCTAATGTCTAATGTCTAATGTCTATTGTCTATTGTGTAATGTCTATTGTCTATTGTCTATTGTCTATTGTCTATTGTCTAATGTCTATTGTCTAATGTCTATTTTCTATTGTCTATTGTCTATTGTCTAATGTCTAATGTCTATTGTCTATTGTCTAATGTCTATTGTCTATTGTCTATTGTCTATTGTCTAACGCCTATTTTCTAATTTCTATTGTCTAATGTCTATTGTCTATTGTCTAATGTCTATTGCCAATTGTCAAATGTCTATTGTCTATTGTCTATTGTCTAATGTCTATTGTCTATTGTCTAATATCTATTTTCTATTGTCTAATGTCTAATGCCTATTGTCTAATGTCTATTGTCTAATGTCTATTGTCTATTGGCTATTGTCTATTGTCTAATGTCTAATGTCTATTGTCTATTGTCTAATGTCTATTGCCTATTGTCTATTGTCTATTGTCTAACGCCTATTGTCTAATGTCTATTGTCTTTTGTCTATTGTCTAATGCCTATTGTTTAATGTCTATTGTTCAAATCACAACGCTATCTTTTGTAGCTTTATCTGAGTAGCAATGAAGAAGACATCATCGTTTTCTGTCTAAAAAATGTGTTAAGGGGGGGGGAATGAAACGTTTTACTCTCCGTAAAATTTAAACAGTGTTTAAACCAGTGTTTCGGATCCATATCATTTTGATTCGGATCCGGATCCGCGGATCCGCATCCGTGATGATGGATCCGGATCCTGACTCTCCAAAGGCTTAAATGTCCGCGCGCGCGCGCAATAAAAGAAAATATCTTTGAATACTTATGTGCTAAGTTTGGCCCAAGTTAGAATAACAGTTGCATGTGATACATCAAACTATAGCAAAATTGGGACAAGGAATTCATTTCTGAGGTCAAAATAGACATTGGAGCATTCTGACCGGCGCGCTAGTAGCCAACCATTACATTATGGGTCATCTTAGTACATTTTTTACATGTTGTATGTATATTTATAGGTAATTTGGCAAGAGGAATTCATTTCTGAGGTCAAATAAATATTCGAGCATTCTGACCGGCGCGCTAGTAGCCGACAGTTACATTATGGGTCATCTTCCCGCATATTTGCATGTTGTATGTCGATTTATAGGTTATTGGGCACGAGGAATTCATTTTTGCTCAGATTCCTTCAAAACCAAAAAATGCATGTAATATACATAATTCTGAGTTTGCATGCATTTTTCCTTTACAGTCCCTTTAATATTATATAATTAGCTGCTTAAAATTGGTCGAGGAAAATGTTCCTAGAAAAGAATTAAGATTAAAAAGATTTATATAAAAAAATATAATTTTTTCCTAGGCTGGAAAACCCGGTACAACCGTAACTGCCAGTAATTTATTCTCAAACCTACCAGTGCGCCGCCATTACTATAAAGACGTACACCGGAAGAAAGAAGAACTAAAGAAAGTTGAACGCGTGATTGCCGCGTTTTCGATTATAAACCCTGGAGTTAGGTTTTCAATTCATCATAATAAAAGCAATATTTTCGGCAAGATTTCCTGCTCCACACTAAGTCAAAGCTTTGGGGCGGTCTTAGGACAAACTAGTCGAACAAAAATGAACGAATTCAGTTTAGAGATAGATCCTGTTACTGGTCAGGTTACAGAGCAGCTTGATCCTGATGCTTTGGTTAAACTGCATTCATTTATCATCCTTCCTAAGAAGTTTGCTGGTATGGGAGTGGAGCTGGGAAGAACAGGTCCCGAGAAAACATTCATTTTCATCAACAAGCGGCCAGTGGAGCACAAGGAACTGGAGAAGGTTCTAAAACGTGTGTTTAGCTCCGCAGCAGGGTTAGAAACGGAGAAGTATCCTGTAAGCTTGCTAAGTATTACTGTCGGAGCAGAGGAGAGAAAACATATGGATGCAAATCTTGAACCCAACAAGCAAAAAGTAGGTTTGGGTTTCTTATCTCAGCTGTGCAGTGGCCTACAGGAATACCTTGAAAGAATGTATGGACTGAACAAGAACGGAGCTGATCTAATCACAGCAGATTCATCGAAGCACAACACAACTAGTCCAGAATCTTGTTTTACTATGATCGGAGAAACCCAGCCCTGGCCGGAGGACAAGGAGAATATTGATCATGGAACAGTTTCTCAATTCTTTGCTAGACATCAGGGACAGAATAATGTTGGGACGGGTTCAGATTCTTCGGAAACTCATGCAATTCAACCTGAGACCTGGGATGCTCGGGATAATGAGGATGAGCCTAGAAGTAGTCTTGTTTTAAAACCTGAAATGTTTCAGACTCCAGAACTACCAGGATTGGATGCAGTTTATATTAATAGGTGAATATAATCTTTATCTTTTAAAAATATGAGTGTGGTTGATAATATTGTTTACTGTGCCGGTTTATTAACCTTTAAATGCAAATTTCGTCGTAGTTTTAATTTGAGAGGCATAATATCCTTGGTGTTCATTTTACTAATGGGAATGTAAGCGTAATTTCAAGTTACCCTTAATGTACATGAGGGGCATGTACGAACCCCTGAAACCTTAATCTGATCAACTATGTTAAAAATAGGTTTTCTGGAATAAAAGGTGGTTAATTCTATTTATTTCTCCATTGTTTCTAAGCAAGAAATGCTAGTCCCACTCTTGTAGCGAAACCAAAAATGAAAATAATCTCATTTTTACTCTCAAAACCCGAATCTGAACTATGAGAAAAGAGAGATAATAAAAATTTCCTGATCACTGAATGGTTTATCAAGTTTAAGCATAAAAATAAGCGAAAAAAATAAGTCTAAATTTAAAAATTCTGCTTTGTTAAAAAAAAATTAGCAAATTTTAAAGAAATGCCCGGGATCCAGATTCATTTTTTTCCAGTATGGATCCAGGATCCAGATCTGGATCAGCATCAAAATTAAATGGATCCTCAGCACTGCGGCTTTGTGTTACTTTATCACTAAAACTATGTTTAAAGTCTCCTTGTGTATTTTTTTTTTATTTCATATCCTTCATTCGATGACAAAGCTTAAAAATATTAAACAGAATCGAAATAACAAGACACACAAATTCATTTTGTATTTTATTGTTTAGGTTAAAGGATGGAGATTTTACCGAGGTTGATGAAGAGGATGAACTAGATTTCGAGGCTGGGGTAAGTTTTGAGAATTCTTTTTTCTAGGTTTCTGGATTAAAAAATTTCTACGAGATTTTTCTTTTAACTTTCAAAAAACAATTTTCCTGAGCCAAAACTGTTTTTTTTTTTTATTTTTTTTCTCATATAGGATTCCGGATACCAGTTACCCGAGAACCCGTTCATACAGTTTGAAACCGAGGTCGGAGATAGTATGGAGGACTGGGAGGACGAAGAGAGGTTAAACACTGACCTCAACTCAGTTGGATTCAGTTCTGGAGATATTTCTGGTTCAGAGTTCGAAAAGAAGGCTCAAGGAGGTCAATCATCTATTTCGGTCTCTGCTTGGGCTACAGGTTGGAAAAAATTGGATTAGAACGAAGAAGTAACGATTCAGCATGCTTTTTTTCTTCTAGGAGTGCTTATTTTTTATACGCATCCTCAATGATTTTTTTAAATTGTAAAGAGGTATTAAATTGGGATTTGGCTTAAAAACAGCAACTCGTTCTAAATGTTCTTAATTTTCGGGGTGGAAAGATCTAAAACTTTTTAAAGTTCTTAAACTTTTTTCGCCTAAATTTTTTCATCAAAAATCTTGTAATACCTTTAAANCCCCAGGTTTTCAAACCAAAAAAAAGAAAGAAGCCAGATATCCAGAAATAACAGGAATCTGCATCAAACAATCATACCTGGACGTGTGTGCGAGAACATTTTGATTTTACAACATTTTTGTTTTTTAAACCTTACACCCTGTACTAATATCAATATATTTTAACTGTGCATTAATGAACACTATTATGTTAACCAACATGTAGTTTTGAGGTTACTGCTGAAATAATATTTTTAAAACATGCATTCTCTACAAAAGTACAAATATTAAACTTTCAATGAAAATGTTTAAATTTGTTATGTATGAAGAAGTAAATATTTTTGACAAAAAGATTATTTTTTTATTTTTTGTGGGATTTAAAAAAATGTTCTTAAAAATTTAGATTTTTCACGATATCAAAAACATGCTCTAAAAATCTTTATTTGGAAAATGTTCTTAATTTTGTTCTTGATTTTTGGCAACATTTGTTAAAAAATCTTGAATTTAAGAAGAGCGCTATTAATTTTTTAGGGGCAGGGGGCAACTATGTCTTATGGGAAAAATAAATGAGTTTGATTTGATTTGATTTGATTTGATTTAAGGTTTGGTTTGATTTGATTTGATTTGATTTGATTTGGTTTGGTTTTGTTTGATTTGATTTGATTTGATTTGGTTTGATTTGATTTGATTTGGTTTGGTTTGGTTTGGTTTGGTTTGGTTTGGTTTGGTTTGGTTTAGAAATATCGATAAAGAGGCAACAATGCTTGTTTTTTATGCTTCTTTTCGTCATTCTTTTAGAATTATTCTGTTTGTCCTGGTTTATAAATTCAAATTGTCTAGGTAGGATGAAATCAGAGTGTGGTGAAATTCTTCAGCCTGTTAAACTCCATTCAACTTCACACAATCTTAATACTGGTTTTACCTCTGGTTCTAACTCCGGTCCTAAACCATATCTTCGCGTAGAACCGGAGAAAATCCTTCAATCTTCTCCTGAATCTGGACCTACCCGGAGAAATGAACTGAAGAAAAGGAAGTTTGACGAGTCTACTCCAAGAATTGATATTTTTCTCCAATCCTCCGCCAAGAAGAGAAAAGAAAAACCAGCCTTGCAACCTAAAACTAGAGTTGTCTCCGTCCCGTTTAAGTTGAGTATTTGCCGACGGCGGAAAGCGGAGGAGACAATTAAGTCAGGCCTGATAGGAACCATTACAACAGATAAAGGGGTTAGTACATTATGGGTTCAGAAGACCTTCAGTTCTCATATTAAATCTAACATAATTTAAGTTAAATGAATGTAGACATTATTTCGCCTGATTTCGATTCGGCTTTGCGTCCAGGTTGTCCCATGAAATTTTTTTTAAATTGTGGTTTCTATATAAACAAGACTTTTAGGGCGCTTCGCACCCATCTTCTAATTCAAATTTTTTAATTGTGGCTTTATCTGTGAACATCTTCTCTTTGTACAGTATAAAACAAAAACATAAAAAGTTTGCGGATTTCAAAATATTTTTTCGCGCAGTTCCAAAATCTTACAAAAATAAAAAACTGTTAAGCACAAATTTTTAAAATTTTGATCATTCATAAACCTTCCCTGGGGTCACGTGAGGTCCCACATAATGTTTGGGCCCGATTGGTTCAGCCATTTTGACGTTTATTTTGACACAAACTAACAGACAAAAACCCACCCAGACAAGCNAACTTAAACATTATGGTTTCTGATACCGGTACCGTTGTGAATGGGAAACTTTAGAGATCCTTTGATCTATGTTCGGAATTTTATTCTTTTCATATGAAATCTAATGTTTAGGAGGGTTGGGTGTATTCTGGAGACGGAGAATTGAACTTAATCCATCCTCTTCGTCTGAAGGTAAAATTGAAAATTTGAGGACTGATAGTTAGTTCACTATTTTATTTTCTTAATTTCTTAAAATTAATTTTTATTTGATTTTCTGATTTAGATGGACTCTATCAAGAAATAGTTCTTCCCTCAATAAGTGGGAGTTGACAAAAAAAATATTAAGCCCGTTTGAAGATAATCTGCTCCAAATCTATATCAATTAAATATTTTTTTAATTTGAACGTGTAGGAAAGAATGATTTATGATCGCTTGCTTGCATCTCATCCTCTTCCATCATCCAAACTTACAGAGCCCATCATCCTTCATCCAGGTATAGATTAGCAGGTGGTTGGGTTCCAGGGTGTGGGTGTGGGTTTACATTATTCAAATTATATTTTATCTTATTAAACTTGATTGCCAACTGAATCGGGCTTGTCCCAAACCCTAATGCTCTAAAACTAAAAGTATTCATTATTTTAATTTACTCCACTCTGTCTCTGTATTCAAGGAGTCGCTAACCACCATGCACAAGTATCTGGTATATCTCATCGCTCAATAGTACAGTCTACAATAGAACAAATAAGAACAAATATTTGGGCTAGTTTATACAGTCTGAAGACTTTCTAGTCCGCAAACTAGTGTCTGTAATTGTAACTATGTAATATATCACTGATTTTATTCCATGACCATATCTTTTACATATATTGTTATCATTTAACTTGTAAATTAGTTTGAAATATACATTATTATTATTATTATAATGTAGAAGATAATTTCGTTTTTCAAGCGTGAAAATTCGGTAATCCTGATAATTCCTACATTGCTTTCCTGCAGCAGAAATGTGCTAGTCACGTATGTAGTTAAACAACATTTGAAAATAATCATTTTTTTTAACATGGCTATCAAATTTTTTCTTGATCAGACAAAGTTTTTACGGTACTTTTGTGATCGGACATTCAACATTAAATGAAAGCTCATTTAAAAATACGTCTACAGAGAACAGTGTACAGTGTACAGTGTACAGTGTACAGTGTACAGTGTACAGTGTACACTGTACACTGTACACTGTACAGAGAACAGTGTACAGTGTACAGAGAACAGTGTACAGTGTACAGAGAACAATGTACAGTGTACAGACCCCTTAAGATTTTATCATTTAGGAAGTTTGGAGGATGTTCAGGTTCAAACTCTTCTATCCCTCTACACAAACACAAAACAGTGTCCTGCTCGTGTCACGGATACAAGGTCAGCGAACAAACATGATTTCCTGAAAATAGTAGGTCAAGGTCCATAAAATGGTAGCAATGGCTCAAAAGGATCCTTGCAATTAATTAATAATTTTAAAAGGATCATTTATTAGAAGCCTTAAAGAGAAAAGTCATTTGATGAGGGGCTTTTGTTGGATGATATTGGATGGGTGAATCTGCAGATCAATCCAGAGATGATTTCAAGGATGTGCGAGGTCTGGAAGTCTATGTACGAGGTCTGGAAGTCTTTAACTACTAAAATTCAAGAAGAAATTCTGAGGCGAAGCATTATACTTCTTTACAACCAACTGGCAGAAGCACTACCTTTCATCCAGCTAAATTGAAGGATGAAACTTTCATCCAGCTAAATTCAAGGATGAAACTTGCATCCAGCTAAATTGAAGGATGAAACTTTCATCTAGCTAAATTGAAGGATGAAACTTGCATCCAACTTTTTCTAGATTCGGCCTGATAAACGTGAATGAAGGGAGAATTGTAGCCTTGTCTTGCATGAGGGAGCGTCAAGCAATCCCTAACCATTATCATTTGATTTTATTTATTTAAACTTTGCACAGAGGATCCATTCCCGGCTGATCCTTGGATTGGGCAGATAAAAATGGATCCAGAATAAAGATCTGCAGTAGCAAATGTTTTGGACTCCAAATCGTAATCCATAAAAAAATGTAAAAATAAAATTCAATCATTTTTTTTTTTTTACTAATAAAAATTTGTAAAATATGATAACAGTCAGTGTCAGAGATGTGTTTATTTTCTTCAAAAAATTATTCCCCTCTCTTTTGAAATTTTTTTTTTCCCTGAAGTTTGGTTTGTTTTAGTTATAGTATTGTATTTACGGGAAAATCAGTTAATTTCCCCCAGATCTTCAAATTTCCCCCCCCCCCCGGGGGGTAATAGTTAATAATATTCACCCCTATATGTATAATAAAAATTCTTGTCTCAAATAAAATAAATGTCTAGGTTAACCCTGAACGGATTCGATATTGCAAAGTACGATTTACAAGATGGAGATTCTCTGTTCAAACTGGAGGGAACAAACACAGATATTCAGGTCATTATTCTATATATCTGTCATCCATCATTATTTACTTCTTCATTCCTTCATTCTTCTTCATTCCTTCATCCTTCTTCATTCCTTCATCCTTCTTCATTCCTTCTTCATTCCTTCATCCTTCTCATTCCTTTATGATCTCATATATATTATATATATAGTTCTAGGGTTTACATCTATTTATATTCAGTTCTAAGGTTTACATCTTTATATATTTAGTTCTATGGTTTACATCTAGAATATTTAGTTCTATGGTTTAGCTGATCTCCAGGAAGTTCTGAATCTTATCTCTAAATCTCAAGTAGATTCTGTGTCAGCGTCCAGGTAAATTTTGGCAGATATTATGGAAAATTCGAATTGTCCGATCTGATTCTAAAAACCTATTATTTTTTTAGGGCACATTTAAAGAGTTTATTTTAATTTTGATATTTGATTTGATTTGATTTTACAAGGTCACAAGGGAGATACAATTTGAATTTTGGTATTATGCAAGGTCACAAGGGAGATACAATTTTAATTTTGGTATAATGCAAGGTCACAAGGANAGGGGGGTTAATTTTTATTGAATACTATAGTTTGGGAACCCACCTTTGCCTGGAAGCTAATTTTGTTCTACAAAAGTCACTCGACTCAACTTAGAACTGTTAATCGGTCACGGGGTCTCTGAGTTATGAAATACTAACAAACAAATAGAGATTACTACTTTATATATAGATGACAAGTATAAAATTTATTTTAAGAATTCTGAAAGATGAAGTTGAGAGCCTGGTAGAGTACATGAATACCTCAGGAGCAACCATTTGTTCCCATAGTAAACCTTTGTATACTTGTATTCATGAGTTTGCATAAACATGTACATTGCACAACCCTTGATTCACATAGTCAACCTTTGAAAACTAGTATTCATGAGTTTGTGTAACTCTGTACATTGTACAATGTACAACTCTTTAAGATCTGATTTACATAGTTAACCTTTGAACACTAGTATTCATGAGTTTAGATATCTTTGTACAACGCTTGAGATGTGAGATGTGAAGTACATAGTAAACATTTGAGCACTACTATTCATGAGTTTAGATAACTATGTAATTGTTGTTTCTTCTCAAGTAAGTACGCCCAATCATCTCCAAAATATTAAAAGAATTGCTCAAGAATTTATAAAAAAGGGTTTTGTATTTAATATTCACAAAATTAAAATTCCAACGCTTAAGATCTGATTTACATAGTTAACCTTTGTACACTAGTATTCATGAGTTTATGTATCGTTGTACATAGTAAACCTTTGAACACTAGTATTCATGAGTTTATGTATCGTTGTACATAGTAAACCTTTGAACACTAGTATTCATGAGTTTATGTATCGTTGTACATAGTAAACCTTTATTCATGAGTTTATGTATCGTTGTACATAGTAAACCTTTGTGCACTTGTATTCACGAGTTTGGAAATCTTTGATAAACAATGAACATTGTACATTTTGTACAACCTTATTGAAATTTAAGTTATTATTAAGTGTTCAAAGCTAGATATTGTTTATTGTAAAGTAAACATTAAAATTTATTAAACATGAAATACTGGATTATTCTGAATTCTGTACAATTCTGCATACAATTTACTAATTACAGTTTCAGTACTTATACAACTGGCAATGTGTACAATTTTGAAGATTCTCAGAACTGTGATAAAATCAAATAATTATAAATTGTTTTCAGATAAATTAAACATGGTTTTGTCCAATAGAGTTTACTCTACAAACGACCGTAAAAAGCAGGTTAAGAGATGTTCTAAATCATATGTAATCCCCCACCCCCCTTACCACCAAACATAAAGCACTTAGATTTAAGAAGTTATAATTCTCTCTGGATTTAAATAAAGCAATGTATTGCATAATGTTACATCTTTTGAAACCAAAAATGATGTTGGTTCAAAACATCATTTAAAGAAATGGAATTTTTACCACCAACTAAATTTTTCTAACCCCTATATCTTTGCAACCTATAGTGTCTTAGACCTTTGATATTTCAATAATCAAAGTTGGAAATATCAGGTTGGAAGGACATAGTAATAAGAAAATCAGAGTTTGTGGCAAAGACTCAATTCCTTTCTGATTGTAGGTTTATGTTCCTATGAGTCAAAAAGAGTTTTTGGAACAGCATCTTATCAAGAAAAGGAACGCAGAGAAGGATAGATTGGAGTATTGGTCAGGGACAGAGAAGGTCATTTTTTTAATCGAATTATCATTACAATTATTATTATTTTAGCATTATTATTAATTATTATAGTATTAATAGCTCAAGTGCCAGGCGTTGACCAGGTTACTCATAGTTACTACCGCCGTTTACCCGAGCTTGGTCTGAAATTACGTTTTTAGCTTTTTTTCCTTATAAAAGTCGACCCACTCAACTAGAATCTCAAAACCATGCTAAGAACATTTCCGAGGCAAATCGGTCATGGGTTTCCTGAGTTATGATCAGAGATACAAACAAACTAACAGAGATTATTACCTAGTATATATAAATTAGCATAATATTATTATCAAAGTATTATATTATAGTATTTTTATCATAGTATTATTATATTTTTATTTTTATATTCGTATTTTTTAAGTATTATATTATTATTATGATTATAGTATTATGGGAATGTTGGTCATCAGAGTTCCAGGTTTCATCATCTCAACTCCATTAAACAAACTGATTCTACTTCTCAGGTTTGTTTTTCTTCAACTCTACAATTTATGTTTAATCAATGACGTAAACAGGGAGAGTAGTGTTCTTAATCAAAAGCCTTTTTTTGTCAAAAATATACAACCTATTTCAATTGTCCACATAATTTATTTTTTGATTTCCAGTTTTTCACTTAAATAAAACATATTAATGCAAAAATGATATACCCCTGAAATAAGAAGAGCTTAATTTTAGATAGAATAACCTTTAGTTACAATAATTGATGTTTTTTTGTGATTTTTTTTGGAAATTGCCTTTAATTGCAAATGAGTAAATTCATCTGTCTCTAATGTCCTTTATGAGTGTCCTAATTAATATTTTTAGACTGAGGAGAGAAGAAAACAAGGTTTGCTAAAGAGAAGAGAAAAGTTAAAAAACCTTATTCAGGAACAGATGTTTATTCTGTTTTGTGGGTTAACTACAAAATCATCTTGAATTCTTTTTGTTTAAGCTCGTTCTTATTCACGGATGATTTTTTATAAAATGGACTCCTATAAAGAGTGGTGTGCAAAATACGAAAATAATTCGTTGAATAAAAACTACAAAATGAATTTACGCATTCTGAAAATGATATTATAATTATTGGGATTGGGAATTGAAAGGGGATTAGGATTTTAAAAATAATTTGGGATTGAAAGAAGATGAGAATNGTTAACATGCTTATTTTGATTTAATAGTTACAAGTAAGCAAAGAGAAGCTGTTATTTGATAGCTTCTTTTGTTTCCATGATTATGTGTAACCATGCTGTTAAAAACCTTGCTAGAAATAAAAATTGATATCTATTTTAACAATTTATTTTCCAATTAAAAACTTTAAAGGAGCAGTAAATTTTTTTCCTTTGCAGCCGGCAAGGTATAAACTGGTATCATAGTGCATGGTGCACAACCTATCAGGATTCTATTTTCTATGTTTGTTTCTGGCAAGACGGAAGTGGTAAAGAGAGAGAGAGAGAGAAACCTCTCCTTCTCAGCACTGTTGTTTTCTCTTTTTTTCCAAGTAGAGTGTACACTGTACAGCCAAAAAATTGAAATCAAAAGTTGTCTATTTTATATTGATAAATACGGCTATGTAGGATTGATTAGAAATTTTTATGGAATAGATTTTGAGGGTTGGGTAGGGAAACTAATTTTTTCAAAGCTACCTAATGAACATGTTGCTGGTGTAGAAGGATGAGGAGATGTGGGAGAAGGAGTTGGAGGGAGTCAAGGTGGAGGAGAACATTACAGATCTTAGACAGATCAGGGAGCAGTTCAGGTATATGTTCAGATCAGAGAACAGTTCAGGTATGTGTTCAGATCAGAGAACAGTTCAGGTATATGTTCAGATCAGGGAACAGTTCAGGTATATGTTCAGATCAGGGAACAGTTCAGGTATATGATCAGATCAGGGAACAGTTCAGGGATATGTTAAGATCAGAGAACAGTTTAGGTATATGTTCAGATCAGGGAACAGTTCAGGTATATGTTCAGATCAGGGAACAGTTCAGGTATATGTTCAGATCAGGGAACAGTTCAGGTTTATGTTCAGATCAGGGTACAGTTCAGGGATATGTTCAGATCAGAGAACAGTTCAGATAAATGTTTAGACCAGAGAACAGTTTAGGTATATGTTTAGATCAGGGAGCAGTTCAGGTATATGTTCAGATCAGAGAACAGTTCAGGTATGTGTTCAGATCAGAGAACAGTTCAGGTATATGTTCAGATCAGAGAACAGTTCAGTTATGTGTTCAGATCAGAGAACAGTTCAGGTATATGTTCAGATCGGAGAACAGTTCAGTTATCTGTTCAGATCAGAGAACAGTTCAGGTATATGTTCAGATCAGAGAACAGTTCAGGTATATGTTCAGATCAAAGAACAGTTCAGGTATATGTTCAGATCGGAGAACAGTTCAGTTATATGTTCAGATCAGAGAACAGTTCAGATAAATGTCCAGATCATAAAGCAGTTCAGGTATATAAAAAGATCAGAGATCAATTCAGAAAGAATGGAAGCTTTTCTGAAAATTAAATCTCAAAAACATAAAATTTGTAATTTTCAGATGTCCTGGTCAACAAAATCACGTATCTAGTAAAAAGTCTTTAAATGTTAATAGCTAAAAGAATCCTAAAAGGTATTCAGGATTTGAAACAGTTGAAAGTAGAACCTAACCATTTCAATATTATGTAAATAAATCAGTAACAACAATAGCAAAATTCAAAAAAAGTAAAAGGAAGAACAAAAAAGACGCTCCTTCCACTTATTTCTTATTCTTGCTGTGTGTCACTAGATTGCAGAGAGAAGAGGAACAAAGAAAAGAGGCCGAGTTAAAAATGTTGCAGCATTGGAGAATTAATAATCCTACAATCAGACAGGTCGGCCTTTAAAAATAAAGTTCAAGAAAACCATAAAAATAATATAATTGGATAATTACTTATCTTGAAAGAAGTAAAGATAACGGATCTATTAATATTTTAAATTCAACCTATAATAAGATACATTAGTTTTTCAGATATACTCTTTATAAGCGTTTTCTTGATACAAATAATATTCATGTTCACTTGGATCGAGTTTTCTTACTAAAGTGCTTTAGTATGGAAACAAAGCTTTCATTTGGTCGTTTAGTTTGAACAATGTTTTTGCAATAGAAAAGGTCAAGGGTGAGAAACCAATGTTTAGTGTGGACTTGAAACCTAAAAGTTTGGAAGCTGTCGGAAAATCTAATAAATATTTCTGTTTCCAACTTTTTACTGTTACTTAAAAGTATTTCTTGATCTGAAATGTGAATGATTACAAGGTCGTCTTCCCTCCCCCACTTCTTGGAGTATCAGTTAATAGTTGTAAATTATGCTTCTCTCACCTATAATATGTAGGAACATGATAATTGATATCATTTCATAAAGTTTATTTTCATTGTCACTTTCAAGTAAACTTTATTATTTATACAGAATAAATAAAAACTATACTTTAAATGAGAAATGATTTGTAAAAATCCAGGGGGGGGTACACCCCCCCCTAATTTCACTCAGGGGGGGGTAATGGACTGCCACCCCCCCCTTGAAACCGCCTATGTATATATACAAATGTTTTGTTTTATTATATAGATTTGGAGAAATCAGAATGTATGCTTTGAACAATTAAATCGTATTAAGAAATATTTTCGCTGTTTAAATATGAAAGTTTAAAGAATAACAAATCTTTAAAGCTCTTGATGGTACATGTTTATTGTACACAGTACACTGACAAGTGCAGTACTGTACTGTTTATAAATCATGATTTGATATTGTTTTGGTCAGATTGAGTCTAGCAGAAACCAAACATTAGTTCGTCAATACTGGGACAAACAGCTCGAAGAGAAGAAGAAAGAAGAAGAGAGAAGAAAATTGGAAGAAGATGAATTAGCAAGAAGTAGACTGGAAGAAGAGGCGCAGAGGAAGATACAGTTAGAACAAGATGATGAAAATCGGCGGAAGAGAATAGAAGATTGGAAGAGAGAATTAAACCATCAACTTGAAGAACTACGCCACAAGGAAGACAAAGAGAAGGAACTAGAACGAGCCCGGCAGGAGCAGGAGGAACATCAAAGAAGAATAGAAGAGTGTGAAGAGGAGAGAAGAAGACGAGATGAAAAGAGGAAGAATAAAGAACTGGAAACCTATCAGAAGAGGCAGCACAGGACGATATTGAAGAGGATGGCGGAGGAGGTGGAGAAGGAGATACAGGAGGACAGGAGGAACCTTCAAACCATGGTAGAGTTGGTTCAAGCTCAGAACAGGTTAGAGATTATTATGTTATTGCCATAAAGTCCAGTGCTTAGGATCCGGATCCGTTGGATCCGCAAGATTTTGGCTTCCTGGATCCGGATCCACGGATGTCGATCCCGAGACAAAATATCAACCAAAAACTGCAAAAAAAAAATCTTTTTTACTTTCTAAATCCAAATCCGACAAATTAAAAAAAAGATATTATAAAAATTTCCGGATTTCTGAATGGTTCATCAGGTTTTAGCATCAAAATAAGAGAAAAAAATAAAACAACAAATTTGAAAATTCTGCGTTGTTAAAAAAAATCAGTAAATCTTAAAGAAATGACGTGTATCCGGATCCGCATCAAAAGTAAATGAGGAAAATCTATTCGTTTTTCTATCAATCTATTTTATCATAATTTCTTCATTGTCTCTGTAGCATAAACCTGCAAGTCATTTTTACGGAGAAACTACAACTTAAAACAATCAAATTTCATCCAGAAAAATAAAGTTAAAGAGTACTGTAGTGAATTGTACATGGAGAGTCATTTTGATTCTTTTGGAAACAATTTATTTATTTGTTGGTTTTGCATGTCTTTGTCTAGGTTGGAGAATGAGCAGAAGGAGAAGTGCTTGAAGGAGGTGAGATGGATGCAGAAGGTGTTGAAGGAGCAGGCTGATGAGGAGAACAGGAGAAAGAAGGAGTTGGATTTCGTGTTTGCTGAAGAAGCAGAGAGGATGTGGAATAAACAGCAGGAAATATGGGACAGGTATAGATTTTTTTTTATGAAATAGTTTTTTTGTTAATTTTTTCCTTCTTTTGTTTCCCGCCATTTTTCCTATGGAAATTGAATTTGAGTTCCTTTCTTCATGTTAATGTTTTTCTGTTCAAACTTTGTATTCAGATCATAATTGTGACAACTTTCAAGACTGAAAATAAACCTTTAATCTTATATTCAGTAACGATATGGAACATAGTTTTTTGTCAAATCTGCAACCCTAACATTCTTTATCACAGAATTGTGTATTCACTAACCAGATATATAAATATAATTTGTAACCAAGCTTCTAGATTAAAGGAGGGGATGATTAATTTTAACTGGTTCTTAATTGATTGCACTTTTAACATTTGCCTAAAAATGAAAATATAAAATATCTTTCACATTCTTTTTAAATTAACCGTTCATCTTTAATAATCAGAAACCAATCAATTAATTATTAAACCCCTATCTTGGCTTTTTCAGAAATTCCTCTCTGAAGATTGCTTTAAAATAAATTATGTATATTTTACTTTATTAAAGTTAAGATAATGTGCTAGTGGTTTGAAATGACCCTAAATTAATTCGATTAATTGTTTTTTAACAAAAAAATATTTTTTAGAGAAGAGAAAGCTCGTCGAAGATTGATGGATGAGGTTGCGGCCTCCTGGAGGGAGCAGAACCTCCACAGGTTGGAGGCTGCCAGGAAGGAGGAACAGGAGGCCATCCTCCAGAGGCAGGAGCTGAAGAGGGAGGTTGAGGAACTGCACAGGAGTATAGAGGAAGAGGAGAGGAGGAGTAGGATCATGAAGGAGAGGTTCAGGGAGGGGTTGGAGGAGGGGGTGAGGCATGTAGAAACAAGGAGGAGGGAGGTAAGGTTCCAGGAGGAGAAGGAGGGGTTGGAGGAGAGGGAGGAGGAGTTGAGGGAGGAGAATAGGCTGGCTAGGCACATCAAGAATATGGAGATACAGGAACAAGACTCAACTTCTTATGTTCAGGTTAGAAAAATGAAGAAAAAAGTCGCATAATTAATATCAATAGCTAGATAAATTAAATTTAAATAATAAAGGAAAAAATTTAATCACAGTGAAAAGTAGGTTAACTATCCTTAGGTAGTTCTACTACTTTCCGCTACTGCTTATTATAGAGGGAGAGGGATTACAGGAGAGTTGTGTGTTAAATATTTCTTGTTGATTATAATTCTGTTGTATTTTTAGGATTTTAGAAGAAAGAAAGTTAAATGGTTTTACTGATCCCATTACTCATGATTTACTCATCTACATTATTTGTTAAACTCTGCACAAGGGTAGACTTGTGATACTGCACTGTTATAAGAACATATACGCTTATGTACACGTTTTAGTCCTTTTATTTAATGTTTTAGACGTTTTATTTAATGTTTTTTACACTTTTTCAAAAATAATAAAACAGTTTTCACATATTTTTAATCATCATGCAGTGTATACTATGCACTGAATGCTGTTAAAATAATGAATAAATATTTTCCTCAAAAGTATTTTTGTGAATAAAAAATTGTCATATTAATTTTGAAATTCCTTTCAATATTGAATTTTAATGTTAAATGCATTAAATACGAAGATGAATTATGCACAGGTTTTAAATTACAAAATTTATTATATTCTATCATTTCTGTTTTCGAAATAGCATAGACGAGTTTTGAATAAGACAGTTTGCATTATAATATCATGTTTTTTGCGTTTCCACTATACACATCTATAATTTTATTTTAAAGGGAGTGACTGGTAGTGAATGGTAGCTGAACCGAGAATGTAGTATTGTGGAGAATTTGTTTAGGATTCATTTGAGACAAATAAAACATTTTAATGATGTATAATTACTGAGTTTAAAGTGCAGTTAACGTTTAAAATCAGTCATTTGGGTGTTAACGCTTTGAGAATTGATTTTTTTAAAATTATTATATCGACAACAACATATGTAACAAAAGTTGTACAAAAAGCTAATTAGTTGTTTAGGAACAGGTTGAGAAATTAGAAATTAACTCTGATCATCGAAAATAAGTAATCTTATTCAGTAATTAGTTTCTGTATTGTCTCATTGTTCACAAACATTTTCTGTAGATTTCCTGGAATTTTTATTGAAAAGACGGCATTTTAAGAATTGGAAGAAATCTGTGAACAAATTTGTAAAGAATGAGAAATTCAATGTAATCATGAAAAATAAATAATTGATTCTGGCATTAGTTTATTGACAAATTTCTTTTGATAAATATGTCTCTAAACATAGAAAAAGGAAACGAAGAGGTAACGACTGCCTCATATCTCTCAAATGAATCCTAAAATAATTCTCTAAAATACTACATTCTCAGTTCAACTACCATACATTGCCGGTCACTCCCATTAACATATTTTGGCTTTTTATAGGATTTTGTTAGTTTAGTGGACTAAATTTTTGTTATGATGCAATTTGATGTTTGATGTAAGACTTTAAGATAATAAATCAATTAAAGGAAATTAGCTTTTTGATGTTTTTTTTTTGGCTTGAGGGTAGGATGGAGTAGAGTTATAATTACAGAGACTGAAATTAAGAAAAAAAATTCATTTTTCTTTTCATTCACAACCTTATATTAATCCTATTTCTCACCAAGATACAATGTACTTCTTTAAAGGTTAAAACTATACTTTAAGTTCAAACCATTTCATTTTTTTCTTCTTGACCCCCTCTCAAGAAACTCATCCTTCTCTCTGCTCATCCCCCCTTTAAACATTAATACCCCCTCTCTTCAGGTTTACACACTCCCTTTCCCATCTCTTCAGTCTTCACCCCCTGGGGGATAGTTGTCTCCCTATAAACTACAATGGACTTTGCACATTACAGGAGAGACGATGTAATAAGAAAACACAAAATTTCAAAAAAAATTCTAAATTTAATCCTCCTAAACTTGATTGTGTTTTGTTATTTGCTTTTGTTTATGGTTGTTTTTCAGTTTCTATAATTTCTATAAAGTTTTTGTTATTAATATATCAACCCCCCTCTTCTTTATTTTTGAAGTGTCCTGTCTAGGGTGGGCTGGAAGAAATATTGAAAATATCCGTCTTGTTTAAACTCATATTAGTGTCTCCACAATATATGGTCGGGACATTTCTATCCCTCCTTCCCCCCTCTAGATATTGTTCCCCCCGGATACTATGGAAGCCGACCAAGTTTTTAATGTTTCCAACGAAATTTTCAATAAACAGAATTCGCGAAAATAAACGAAAATTTTGGGAACCCTACTATAGTTCAGAGTAGTTAAAAAAGTTTTAACTCCCCGCAGCTGTTCTTTCGGTTTTAATTTGACTCCCGCATTTTTAACTACTCCAACACCATTTAACTTCATCTACCTCTCTTAACCTAATCTTACTTAATTTAAGGTATATAATTCAATGTTAGGTCAGAAAACTTAAGGTCAGTTTTCTCGAGGTCGGTTGACTGTGCACCCTCCCTCGAACTCCCCTCACGTTCCACTTCCTTTATACGTCTTGCGGAATACAAAATAGTATTTTCTACCATAGATATCAACCTATATCGAATTGACGTGGCCGGACAAAAACTACCAATTTTGGTAGTTTAAATTTAAACTACAGGGTTACCCACAAACAATGAGACTACAATAACAGCCTGAAACTCTTTAAAGAAATCGATTTGTGGGTTTAATTTTGGTTGCTTCTTTATCTCTTTACAATTCCTTAAATAGTTCTCCATAATTTTGGTTGCTTCTTTAAGACTTAAATGATTTGGCAAGAATAGAGAAATGTTTTTTGAGATAGAGACGACCATACAAAATTCTTTTAATCTTTCCCCTCATTTCATGATTCTTGAAGCTTAAAACCTATTTATCTCTTTACAATCCTTAAATAGTTTTCCATAAACTATTTTTAGGCAGTTGATCAAGCTTAAAGGGAGTGTTCGCGAAAAATGAAATGGGGTATATATAGGCTTACGGCGAAAAAAAGCGCTTTTGATCACTACTAATGTTCCTTCTATCTGTTGCGTCTATCAGGAGAAAATTGTTAAAACGACTCATGCTGAAGAACGTAGCGTCTATACAAATTAAGAAAGTTGTAATACTCCAGTCGGATCATATAATAATCAATTTAGTTCCAAACAAATCATTCAGATATTACAACCAATAGTCATCGATTATTTTTCGACGCATTCGTATAAAGTTAATATTTCATAATTTTTTTTTGAAAATGTCGTCTTAATTATCAAAAATCCCCAAAACAGTAATAAATGTTTTCAAAAGTAATTATCAGATCATAAAAAAAAACCACCTCAACCTAATCCAAACCCCATCTAAACATGATTCCAACCTGATCCCCACCTAATTCAACCTAGTCCCAACAAATCTTAACCTATTCCCAACCAATCTCAACCTAATCCCAACCTTATCTCAACCTTATAGATCTTCGTGTAGATAATGATATAGTGTATACGAATAATGACAAATATTCATTATTTTTGATATCTAATTTCCTAAAACATAAAAAATACACTTGGGGAAATTATTCTTCTTGTTCTCATGAAACAAAATCATTATTATAATTATTCCATTAATCCCCTGCTGACAACCACCTTTCTCCCCCTCCTTGATTTTTTTAAATGAAGTGTAAAACAGTAGATTTTATCGCATGAAGTCTAAATGGTCATTTTTTTGAACCAATCACTTATCTAACTAAAGTATAAAGAATTACACAATTCAGCGAAACACCCCTAAAATATTACAAGCTTATGTCGTGGGGGTGATTTTTTAAGAAAATATACACCACTGTGTATTCATATTAATTGTTTTTGTTTGTATTTGGGTCTGTTTAACAAATTCTTTAAAATCATACTTTTATCTTTTATGTTGTAAATTCGAAACGATAGAAAATTAAATCTATATAATTTATCCAAAAGTTTCCAAGTTAGCAGAAAGACCTGGAATTGTTTTTTTGTAGAATATTTTAGCAATGGAAACTTTTGAATGGAAGATTAGGATAAAGTATTAGCTAATCTCAAGATATCTCTACTTTGAGGTCGGAAATAATGAACAGGGGAAAGAAACAAGCAACGTCTTATTCACTTAAGACTCAGATTGAACCGCAGCGATGACTATTTGTTTTCGATACTTTTTGGTAACATTTTATCGCGGCACAAGGGAAAAAAGTTAAACTGATCCTAGATAGTTTATTACTAATAATTTACCAACTTTACCTTCAAATGTATAGTAATGAGCTACAAGTTTACTTATTAATGATAAAATAATTTTGTAATGCGTGTTTTACAATTACTGTAATTTCATTTGTATCATTAGTTAGTAGTTAAGTTTTTGGAAAAAATTTACCATTCTATTTCTGATTTATATTCTTAGATTCAAATCGTAAAATTCATCTCGTGCACGTGCAGGGAAACAAAGCAGCAGATACATAATAAGGAACTATTATAAATTCCGCTAAAACGAAATTAAATTTGAAAAATATATTCTGTTCATCATCACATCATGTTGGCTGTTGATATGTATTGTACAAAAAAACTGTATCTCGATTTATTATATGAAGGTTTATATACGGTGGTCAGCAAATATATCAATACAGTGTCGGTTACTGTAATATTGATATAATACAAGTTTAGTACCTGATAACTTATTGAAATATTCACAGACCATTCATTAATATGGTTATGTAGAATTTACAAGCAAAGATGGCAATGCCCGATTCACTTCGACACCCCTGAATGCAATTTGTCTGATCAAGTATGTATGTTAATAATTTTGAAAACGGATTAAATTAAACTTTGGTTTTTTCTACAAAAGAGACTTGCGCATTTCTACTGCAGGAATTTAAACTTTTAAACCTAAAGAAACGGCAATATCATTGATCAGATAAAGGTTTCTAAAGAGTACCATTGACATCTCTGCAAGAAAGGTCACTTGAATTTACGCTTACTGGTCCTTCAAACCTTTTTTGGGGGGCATGTATTTTGAATACATCATCTTTTCTTTATGATATCTGACTGAATTGTTAGATACTATGCTTTTAGTATCTTCTTTTTCAACTTTTAATTTTGGCTTTATCTGTGAGCATCTTCTCTTTGTACTGTATAAAAAAATTTAATTTGCTGTTTTTAGAATATATTGTCGCGCATTTTTGAAATTTTACATAATTAAATAATTTAAGATAAAAATATTTTAAGATTACGTAATTAAAGTCTGATTGCCCATAAACCTTCCCAGGGGCCACGTGAGGTCCCACCAGAAATTTGGGCCTGATCGGTTCAGCCGTTTTAACGTTTATTGGATACAAACGAACAAGCAAACAGACACCCAGATAGACAAGCCAAATTTATATATAGA